AGATGTAGATCTGAATAGGCCACCGCCTTGTGGTCCCTTGGGTTGAAGTTTCCAAAGTAAGATGGGCAACGAAGGTGGAGAAGAGAGCAAGAAAGGGAAAGAAAGGGTAAGAGGAAAGCAGAAAGGGAGGAGCTCCACTGTCAGAGAGGAACCCGAGGAAGGAACCTGCTGCCTCTACCCTAACCCTAGCAGAGCACAGGAGATTGTTTACGTTCCCAAATTTTACAACTTTAGGCAACTAAGTTAACACTTTGTTTAATATAGTAGTGATTTTGAGTTTTTTATTTTAGTTTTTCAAATTCAAATTGTCAACTTATTAGGTATTAAATTTTAAAAATAATGTCAAAAACTCCAAACTTATTTAATTTATAGAACTGCTTAATTTTGATCTAGTGTTTCTTAAATCTTTAAAAATCAAAACTAAAAACTCAAAATTACAATTATACTAAACTATCACTAAGTAAATCAGCTCCTAAAAATTGAGAAAATCTATTTTTTATTTTGATAAAAATAAATTACTCTCTTTGACTTAGAATAATAAATATTTTTTTACTTAAAAATTATCCCAAAATAATAATTATATTTCATATTTTAAAGAAGACAAACATTTTTTTTTACTTTATCTTTATAATTATCTATTAAGATTAATTATCTTTCCTATTGTAAAAAATTCATTTTTTTTACATTTTTTAATGTAAAATGAATAAAAATAAAAATTATCCCTAAAATGTTAATTTAGAGATAAAATACAAAAAGTTTCTATTATTGTGAGAGAGAGTAAAAAAGTATGATTTTGACATAGTATACATATCTACACTTAGATTTTATTTTACTTTTTTGATATCCCCAACTAATCATTTTACCAACTTAAGAGATTTTCATATTTGATGAACCCAACTTAGGAGAATTTTTTTTTTTTTGACAGGATAATGGTTAGGAGGTTAGTAAGAATTAGTTGTTAATAACTGATCCTCAGATCGGGTGAACATTTCACTCCCTCAAATGAGGCACGCGGCCATCATGCCGCTTTTTAGTGGAGTTCACGACGGTAGTGGAGCTCGAAACTTTGATCACCTCATTCAAGCACTTAAAACTTAAGGTCGAACTATTGGACCTAAAAATCCGGTTCAACTTAGGAGATTTTAAACGTATCCACATGGATATTTGATATCTCCAACAGTCCAACTTATAGTGTTACCATAACCACAACCAAGAATGCCAAACCGCTTATTTTTCCCTCACATATTATTATTTTTTGTAATTAATTTTTTAATTTTTTTTTATTTTTAGTCAATACTCTTTATAATTTAAAATTTATAAAAAATTTTAAATTATCTATAAAGATAAAGATAAGGTGCAAATAAGAATTTGGTCATTAACTTTCAGT